GAGGGCTCCAGTCTTGGTGTCCATGTGGAATTCCTGGGTTGCATTCTCATCTCCAGCCGGATCCAGCCGGATCCAGCCATGAGTTCCAGGTATTCAAGGAGTGGAACTCAAAAGGGAACTTTGTTTTTCTGCCTCTGTTTTTTTTTTTTCCAGTTGGAAAAAATAAAAAAGCTCATTTTAGTGCAGAAAAACTGCATTTTTTAAAATGCTCATTTCCATAAACTTTTTGAAAGGGTCACATTATCATGCCGAACTATAATGAATGCATAATATTCATAATATCCAAACATATGATCTAATTATGATGGCTCCAGGGCAGTCATTATGATATAAAATTCTGCCCTGACCATCCATGCTACTTAATGAGAATTGATGGACCAAGGGCATACAAAACACTTAAATTTTTTAATATGAATTTCTGAACTCTGGTGCAGGACAAGTGACCAGTGCATATCCTTGCAGCTGGAGTCACAAGGTTGTGTTCCCTCTGCATGAGCCGTGTGGCCAGGTTGAGGTCTCCTGTATTAGCAGGTCTTCGTCACAGCCAGAGGGAAGACAGAGAAGCCCCCAAACTGCCCATTTCAATTTAGTAACAAGGATTTTCCCCCCTAAAACCCAGCAAGAGTGTTGCACATGGTGGCTGTGGTCAGCAGATAATGTATAGGTGTACCTGTTCACTAAGTGGCCTTAGAGACTGTGTTTGTTAACTAAGGATACCACTGCTACAGTGGGCTTTAGCTGCTGCTAGAGTTCTGGCTGCACCACTTCCAATCAAGTTCCTGCTAATGCACCAGGGATGGAAGGCCACAAAGATGGCCCAAATGGTTGGAGCCCGTGCCATCCATGTAGGGAACCCTAAGGGAGCGTCAGGTTCCTGGGTTCAACTTCCTAGACTGGCTTCAGCCACTTCGGCATCTGAAGAGTAAACGGATGGATGGCATCTCCCTTTCTGTCTGCTACTGTGCCATTCAAGTAAATACGTAGATATTTAAACATATGCCCCAGCCTCGATTATTTAAACAGAAAATTGAAGGTCGAGGTTCCTGAGACAGGGCTGCTTTCCTACCAGGCCTCTCTCTCTGGCTTGCAGATGCCCACCCCTGTCCTTGCCCGGTCTTCTGCTTTGTGCCCATGCATCTCTGGGATCTCTTTGTCTGCAAGTTTCTTCATATGAAGACCTCAGATTGGATTAGTCATCTCCTCTCTCCAGCATAAGATTTCAATTTAAATTAGTTGCAACTGTAACTCAAAAAAAGTCAGTTGCTTTCTGAGGTGCTGGGAATTGGAGCTCAGAGTAGAAAGGGATTATTTAATTCAGTTCACAGAGGGGACTGAAACACATTTGCATATGAATGGACCATAGTCACTTTAAGGGGTGGCAACTTGCCCTGGCAGTTAGAGCTTATATTCCATGTCAGGGTGCGCATGTTGGATCCCAGCCTGTGGCTCTAGATTCCAGCTTCCTGCTAATGCAGACCTTGGGAGGCAGTGGGTGATAGGCTCATGTGTATGGCTTCCTACCCAGCGTGGACTGAGTTCTTGGATGCAAGTTGGCCCCTGACCAAGTCTCAGTCCTTGTGAGCCTTTGCAAGTCAATCCGTGGATGGGAGGGAGGTCTCTCTGCACTGTTTTTTCTTTTTCTTCCTGCCACTGCAATAAATAGAAAAATAATAATAATAAAAATTTTAAACGGTCCAAAGGTATTAACATTGCAGTTTTATCCGAGTGCGAACAGTGCTTGAGCACAGTCCGCGTGTCTTCTCTGTGTTGGTAGGACACTCCCTTCGTGTGGCTCTCTGATGGCCTGCTTTTCATTCTGCACTATGCTGTGGGTATGGTGCTGGTGATGCGCTCAGCTTGGAGCTGCGCTGCGCCTGGGCCTGGGGACGGCCACTGTCTCCTGCAGCCCTGAGTCTACTGCTGTTCCCTCTAATAAGTACCATGGAAACCTAGTGAGCTTCCAGGGTGGCGGAGAGGTGGGGGCAGCATCAAGTCACCGAGCGACACTGGCTTTTCAAATGTCACAATTATAAAAATAGAACCACTTGAGAAAGAGCGGGGCCATGCCAGCAGCCTGGAGCTCACTGAATTTTGGCATCCTCTCCCCTTTGTCTCACTGTTTTCTCTATGAGGAGTCAGGGAGACAGTGGGCATGGGTGGGACAGGTTGAGATGCCCCTTCTGTAGCATTTCACTAATATACCAACCAGAAATTAATTTGGTGTGGTTTAAAAAAATGGCTATTAAACCTTTGCTGGTCATTGACAGATCTGTTGTTTGAGGATAACACGTTGAAGAGGAAGGGCTGTTGTTCTAACAAACTTGTGTTTTGCAATTGAAAATGTTGTTTTGTAGATAGCTACAGTGTAATCACGCCCCAGGTGTATAGATCTGTATATTCTGTATTGGCCTAAATACCCTTGCTGTGTTAAATGTGGATGCCAAGCAGACATCCTAGCAGTTTAATCCGGTCAACTATTTGTTGGATTTCATGTAATGTGGCTGTTATCCTTTCCTACTTTTTTTAGTTTTGTTTTGTTTTCCGTGGCATGATGTTGTTTCCTTCTAATTAGGTTGAAAATCAGCAATTAGAATTGGAATGCATGAAACAGTCATTTTTTTCCCCTTTTGATCTTATTTTAATGATGTGATTACCAATCGGTCCCTGTGTGTGTGTGTGTGTGTGTGTGTGTGTGTGTGTGTGTGTGTGTGTGTGTACTGTAGTAAGAGCAGCAGGTATTAAGTCAGGAATAGAAGGTAAGTGCCAGGTTTTTGCTTCTTAGAGTTGGTGAAGTCAGATTCCTTAAACCTCAACTCCCTCATTTGCATGGCTTCTTCTTGCCAGATAAGTCTGCTGTGAGAAGTCTCTTGGTATCAAAGCATTAAAAGATGAATAGCTTACACCTTGGAGATGAGTCCATGAGGGATTAGGGCAAGTCGAAATCATTGTGGGAGATGGATGCTATTGATGTCATGAGCTAGTTCGAAAATTTAAATCGAAGAGGTACATGTAATCGTAAATGTTCAGTCCTGTATGTAAAACTGATTTTTTAAAAGTCATTCCAAAAAGCACCATTGAAAGAAAGAGAATAATTCTGTGAAAATTTAAATCCCAATTGTTGTAGACTAAAAGAATCCACCTGCAGGCAATGAGAAATGTGGCTGTCAGCCTTTGAAAAAGCATACTTAACCGCGTGCCCTTTCTGTGTGATTGCCCTGGAAGAGCGGGATGACTGGTTTGTACAGAGCTTCCTGTCAGTCTTCGATATCTCAGTTTCTGACATGCTGAAGACCAGCAGCATCTGATGAAATGTGTCCCTTAAGAGAGAAGGACCAGGCCTGGTGCAGTAGCCTAGCAGCTAAAGTCCTCGCTTGAAAGCTCCAGGATCCCATACAGGCACCGATTCTAATCCTGGTGGCCCCACTTCCCATCCATCTCCCTGCTTGTGGCCTGGGAAAGCGGTCGAAAATGGCCCAAAGTCTTGGGACTGTGCAGGAGACCCGGAAGAGGCTCTGGTTTCCTGGCTTCAGATCAACTCAGCTCTGTCCATTGAAACAGCTTGGGGTGTGAACCATTGGATAAAAGATCTTCCTCTGTGTCTCTCCTCCTTTCCATATGCCTGCCTTTCCAATAAATAAATAAATAAATAAATAAACAATAGAAAGAGAGAGAGAAGGACCTGTGTTTGCCTCCCCAGCATCCTCCCTGCTTGCCATGGCTCTCTGCAGGTTGACTGTTCTGAAATACTGGTGTTCAGTGCTGAAGAACGAAGACTTTATGAAGCATTTCTTCCAAAACACATCTTGATAGGTTGTACAGATTATTAAAGATTTCATGTGCCCAGATAAAGTATGATGATTTATATTTCTGGTGAAAGCTAAAATTCATCTTATTGACTTTTTCCAATCTCTACTTATTTTCCTCTTTTTCATATAAATTTTTTTTTTAAAAAATCCAGTTGCAGTTGATTTAATTTCCAGAAGGAGAGAGTTTACAGCCATGTTTTCGGTCCATGTTGAAATCTGTTGGAATAAAAACGTTGTTTGCCGGGGCTTGGAGGGAGTGGATCTGTTCAGGCGAGTTAGTGACGTGAGACACCATACGTGCCTCCTTTTCGACAGAGCCATCTCAAGTCCCTTCATTTTACAGCTACTTATTAAACATGTATGATTTATCAGTTGCTGTGTTAGGCAGTTCTTCATTGCTGTAACTAAAATACCCAGGAGAAGCCGTTTAGGAAGGAAGTTTCATTTCTGCTCCCGGTTTCGGAGGCTCACAGGTTAAGATGGAGGGGAGCCCTATTGGTCTGGGGTCTCGTGAAGAAAGACATGCTGGAGCACCTGCTGAGGAAGGATCCCACAGCCAGCCAGAAAGGAGAGAGAACAGCTAGACCCCGGTCGGCTTTGATAACCTGCTCTCGCACAAGAATTGGGACCTTCCACTGTGTTCACTTGCTGAACACCATAAAGGGAGAATGTCTGTCCCCTGAGCCCACTAACTACTACCATGGATCCATCAATTAACTGAAACTCATCCTTTACTGGAAGTTTGGAGGACACCTAAAATAACGTCTAAATGATAACACTGTGTGCACCAACCAGCTCGAGTGAAGCGCTCAACAGCATACTAGGGTAGAAGGCTTGAATTGTTTCAGTTCTCTAGAGGGGCATAACTGGTAGTTGAACTTAGTCTCCAGGGTTGTAAAGAAGTATGGGAAGACTTGGGACAGAGCAGGGGGAAAAGATAACCCAAGGGTTTGGAAGGACATTAAGATAGCCAGTGTGCTGAAACACAGTCACCCTGCCAGAGCATGGTAGTGGATGACGTGGGAGAGAAAGAAGCTCAGACCTGACTTGTCCTGTGGTGGCAGAGTCTGGCATGCTTTATGAGTTTGAAAGGTCGCTCTGCATGCTGGGGAGCTGCACTCAGGGGCTGCAGTTGGACAGGAAGACAAGTGAGAAAGCCATGGTCACAATCCAGCCATGAGATCCTGGCAGTTTAGGCTTGAAACTGCAGATAGACTGGGCGTGATGTACTATCAGCTTGGATAGGACCCAAAGAACAACATGTTTATGTGGAAAGAAAGCCATGGATGAAGGAATCAAGACTCTGTCCTGGGGTCTTGTCCTAAGAACAGGGAGGAACAGAAGAGGGAGCATGGTGGCATTGTTAGTTTTCAGTGGGGTGCTGAGGATTGCCCAGGATTTAGGGGGCCAGGTGAGGATGACATTCTCTGAGCCTCTTGTATTCCTTGTGATTTTTAGGTATTAAGTGTGCGTTGTGAGTTAGTCGTCATACAGAGTATGGAGTGGAGGAGATGAACATTCATGGAAAAACATATGCTCTCTCCAGGTTGATGGTGCAGGAGCCTGGACGTGGAGCTCTGAAACCAGTGACAGGATTTGCTTACACAGTATGGTTATGGCAAGGAGGGCTTCTTGTAGATGTAGTGAAGGTGTTGTCCATGATTCCCAACTCTGCGTGCATTTAAAAAAACAAATTATGCCTTTTTATTTGAAAGGCATCCATTGCTTACTCCTCAAATGGCTGTCGTGGCCAGAGCTGGGATGGGGCAAACCTGAGAGCCAGGAGCTTTGTCCGAGTTTCCTATGTGGGTACAGGGGCCCAAGAACCGGAGCTGTTCTCTGCTGCTTTCTCAGGCCATAAGCAAGGAGCTGGATCAGAAGTAGAGCAGCTAAGATAGGAACTTCTGCCCATATGGGATGCCCGTCCTGCAGGAGGAGGCTTTGCCTACAGCACCATGGTACTGGACCCACAGTTTTGAATTCCATGAAGCAAGTACAGATAATATCTATACCATGCCCATGGCCCAGCACAGATCAATCAGTCTCTTCTTAAGGGAGTTAGGGAGGGGAGTGGCCGGCAGCTGTAGTTTTCATCAATTCCAAAGTGATTCTGATGCTTTGCCAAGGTTGTGGACAACTGGATCCCAAGAATTAAAGTGATGGTTTGCCATTTCCCTTCAGGGTTCTTGGCCCTGGAGTGAGGAAGGAATGGTAACTCAGTAGGCCCACAGCTAAGGCAGTGAGGGCAAGGCAAATGCTGGAAGCCAGGAGAGAGGTTAACTCTTAGGTAACTCCTCATTGGTAAGCCCAACACCAGAGATTGCCTGGCCTGGCCGTGAAGCTGCCTTGCCCGGTGAGTGTCAGACTCAGATCCTCTCCCTGTGACCAAGGTTGGTGAATTGACCATGTGGGAAAACATATTTACTGGAAACCTAAATTCTTCCTGTCTGGAAGTTTGGTGGTTAGTTTTACTCTGATGCCCAGCATCATTAAGGGGCAGGGTGAAGTGGGCTGCGATGTGATTGCTATGACACATTTTAAAGTGTATACTTATCTTTCTCCACTCATTCTCTTTGTTAGTTTATTTTCTATATGAAATAAAATTAAAAAAATGAATCTGAAGTTGTGTGTGTGTGTGTGTGTGTGTGTGTGTGTGTGTGTGCAAGCGCGCGCGCACTGGAGTTCATTCTGAAGCATACTTACCAGAGTTTGCTGCTAGGTAGGGAACTCATTTTTTAAAATTATAAAAGGGGAACATATTTGCCATATATGTGGAGCATGAGAAGCAGGCTTAACATGAAATACACTTGCAGTTGCACATGAATATTTCAGAACATAAACTGACATTAAATACACTTCATTGTTAAAAAAAAACAGCTCTGGCTGATGACATGATGGTGGAATTGAAATTAAAAAGGATTTTTAAAAGATTTATTTATTTTTGTTGCAAAGTCAGGTATACAGAGAGAGAGACAGAGAGGAAGATCTTCTGTCTGAGAATTCACTCCTCAAGTGACACAGTGGCCGGAGCTGCCCCGATCTGAAGCCAGGAGCTCTTCCAGGTCTCCCACTCCGGTGCAGGTTGCCAAGGCCTTGGGTTGTTCTCGACTGCCTTTCCAGGTCAGAACAGGGAGCTGGATGGGAAGTGGGGCTGCTGGGATTAGAACCTGCGCCCATATGGGATCCTGGTGCATACAAGGCGAGGACTTTAGCCATCAGGCTACTGTGCTGGGCCTGGAATTTTTAGAAATGTAAAGATAATTACCTGAAAAGCAAAGAGAGAGAGGGAGGAGATTTTAATTCACTGCTTTGCTCCCCACATGCCTGCAACCCCGAGGGCTGGACCAGAGCAGGCTCAGCCTGGGTTGGCCGGCAGAGGCCAGCATGTTGGTCCTTGGTCACTGCCTCCCAGGATATGCATTAGCAGGAAGCGAAAGCTGGGAGTGGAGCTGGGACTTGAACCTGGTTACTTCAGGATAAGTTGTGGATATCCTCCTGAGCAGCATCTTAAACCTGTATGCCTGGAAACCTGCCACCGAACTTTTAACATTCTTAAATTTTTGCATCTAAACCTAATTTCATCCAATTTTAAATTTTCTTCCTTTGCATGCAGTTCAGATGTCCCATAACTTTAAGAAGAACTAAATGGGTCCGGGGCTGTGGCATGGCAAGTAAAGCTGCCACATGCAATTCTGGCGTTCTGTACGGGTACCAGTTCGAGTTCTGGCTACTCCACTTTCAGTAGCTCCCTGCTAATGTGCCTGAAAAGCAATGGTGGATGGCCCTAGTGCACCCACATGGGAGACCAGGAAGGAGCTCCTCCCATAGATGGAAGATGTGTCTGTCCTGTAGCTTCCGGAACTCTATTTTTCAGATTTCCCCTAATGCCCACGACAGCTGGGACTAAGCCACAGTGAAGCCAGGAATTAGGAGGCACCTGTGACTCTCTTGACTCTGGGCCGCAGGAGCACAACTGCTGGCGGCATGATGGGATAGCAGGAGAGCTGCGATCCCCAGTCCCTGCTCCTGTCTCTCCAGTCTGGTGTTCCTTGCTGCCTCCTCTCCTTACAAGGGATTTTATTCAAAGGAAGCTGTGTCCTCACTTAACATTTTGTTAGTTTGGGTGAAACAGTAAAAAAAAATAAATAAGTAAATTAAAAAGAAAGAAAAAAAGATGTAAAATGTTTCCATTTTTGTGCCAATAGAAGTAAAATAGCTTTATTGTTTTGCTAATTGATATGCCGGTTGTTGGTGCACACTGGCATCCTGGCGTGATAAACAGTGATTTGGTTTGACCTGTGTTCGGGCAGCTTTCTGGCCAAGCAGAGGCAGAGGGGAAAGAATATGCTGGAAGCAGCAGGGAAGAAGGAAGAAAAGCCGCTGGAGAGCTTGTACGCTCTGGCCCAGCATCACTGCAGCCTGTCCTAGCACTGTAGAGCTACAGAAAACCCTGTTCCTTGGCGGAGCTGCCAGTTCGACATCTCCTAGAAGGTTTGTTGAATACAAGGCAGCAGCAAGAGCAGAGAGCAAGGGGGTCGGGAAGAATGTGGTCGCCAGGCACAGTGTCCAAAGGGGAGCTTTGGTTGCATCTTGTTAAATAGTGCAGTGTATGTGTTGGAGACTTTTATCGTTGAGGAAGGGTTCCAATTACGCAGAAGTGTTTTGATGAGCTCTAATAATGTCTGGTCAAGTTATGAGGAAAGATTGCCTGAGGTGAGAAGATTGGTGTGGTTCCAAAAATCATGTCGTTTTTTGCAGGAAGAACACAAATGCTGGTTGTTAGTCACCATGCCCTGAGCCTTGCATTCACTTATGCTTCTACTTATCCAAATAACAGGTGCGGCGGCTCTGTGGTGTGTGTGTTTGCATGTGCGTGTGTGTGTGTCCAGTCTCTAGGCAGGATAAGCTAACTCTCTCGGTGCAGCCGGGTTTGAGATCCTGGGAAATTCTGGCTACGGAGCAGAGAGAGCCCCATGAGATTTGTGGACAGGTCTCCGTGTGTTTTGGGAGTTTTCCTATTGATCCGTCACCCGGAGGATGCTTTGGTATTCCCTCTTCCTTACAGAACACATCATCACCGCCGGGATTCCCAAGCTGAATTCTTGATGCCTGAACTGCCCGTCTACGTAATGACTGTCTTGGAAGCAATGGCCAAGAGTTGGGCAAAGGGGTGCCAGGTATTTTTGACGCTGTGGAAATCTTCGTACCAAATTTCCAGGTTGAGCTGATCATTCTGAATGTGATGCTATTGGAAAGCTGAGCCTTGCAGATAAGATTCGGGCAGGAGGGCGGAACCTTTGTGATAAGTGCTAGGAAAGAGCTTGCTTTCTCTGCCTCTCTTCAGTACTTAAACATGCAGGGAGTAGGTGCTGGTTGTCTAATTAGTCAGGAAGGTACCCTCACAGAACACAGACACATCTGCCAGCACCTTAACCTGGGTCTTTTCAGCCTCCGGATGTATGAGAAATAGTGGCTTGTGGTTGTAATGCCCAGGTGATGGCGTGTTTATTGCAATAGTCTTGGCTGCCAAGCTAAGACACCTGACTTGCAAAATAAGGCACCTGATATGAAGATAGACCAGGTGGTGTAGATGTGGGCACGGGGCGCACAGGGCATTTTGAAGTCAAATGGTAACAACCACTGCCTGAAGCTTTAGAATCTTGAGCCCTGGCATGAGTTTTACCTCCCAGTTTCTAAAGGTAACTAATGGAAAGTACTATGCATGTTGTTAGTTAATGACCCCATTTGTGCATTTCCGAAGTAGTTGTCATGGATTAGAAGCAACAACTTACTTTGGTTGTGGTGCAGTCTGAGACAGCAGATCTCTGTTTCATTGAAAAGGTGGACAATAAAAGTAGGAATGGACCCAGATTCTACCCTGGTCATGATGGGGAGGGTCTGTTTTTGCAACAAAGGTTATGATTTTAAAATCTCTTTATCATTGGTCTCTGTGAGCTCTTTATTTAATAAAAAACTTTGTAGTATCTCTAAAGATATTTGCATTAAAGCAGAGTTCAAGGAAAATGTGTATTATGAAGAACTGTACATAAATTTCAAAATTTTTTGTAGCCAAATAAACCTGTTTAATTCTAGCTTTCATGAACATTTGGAGTCATCTTCATATAGCGTTGCACACAAAGAATTGAGTTAGTGTTTTTTGTTTGTTTTTATCTTCTTGCAGATTCAGAGCTCTTAGCCTTTCCACCTGCCCTGCAGGTGCCTGGCATGTAATTGTATCTAACAATCATTTGCAAATATGCCAGGAACAGGGACAGGACCAGCTGTGTTTTTCATATAAGATTAGGCACAAGTCATGGATGAGGTTTTTTTGTCTACTTTAAGTTGTGAATGTAGAAGCAGTGGTTCACGTGATAAAGGAAAACAGAATTAGATAAGCTTGGGGTAAACAAAGCACAACTGACTCCCAGACGGGAGATAAATGTTGCATGCAGGTTTCCATCTTGCCAAGCTGCTGTCCGTGGTGTTTCTGTTGGACTGATAGTGCTTCATATTGGTTGAAAGAAGAAGTATGCTTACAGCCCGTTTATCATATGGTCAGCATTGCATGGATTCAAACACTCCAGTGATCCCATCTGCAGAGTTTTGGCCACCAGGGCTCTGTGGCCTCATTAGCTCTCTCCAAAAGGTCTTGCCCAAGCAACTGTACAAATCACCGTTGTTTCGGGGCAGTGATGCAGAAGGGAAGAAAACAAACATGTTCCACTCTTTGGTATTTTCATGTTAGAATCTGAAGATGGCTGCAGAATATTCAGTGCTTCCAACCAAGCCCTGAGCCCTCACTCTAACATTCACATCATTTACCACAGCTGCTTAGGAAATACACACAGGAAAGAGCATGTTTAGTCTAAGATGATAACCATGAATATATGGGTGGCTGCTCTGCTTCTGATCTAAGTTCTAAGAATGCACCTGGGATAAGACTGGAAGATGGCCCAAGTCTTTGGGGCCCCGACACCCATGTGGGAGGTCTAGATGGACCTCCAGTTCCTGGCTTTGGCCCATTTGCTGTGGCCATCTGGAGAGTGAGCCAGATGAAAGGTCTCTCTCTCTGTTGATCTCTCGTTCTCTGCAACTGTTTTTCAAGTAGGATACAAGGGAATAGAACAGA